GTATTTAGGAAGTGGTGGTAACAATCTAGTCGCATCTCGGTGATCGGTCCGCGATTCTTCTTCCTTCGAACGATTTCACAGCTTTAAATCGTGTTGTTACGCTCTCTAGCAATTGTTTTTCATTTCCTCGTTGTAAGTTCTGTTTTTCTTTCGTTCTGTTGCGTTAGCCACGCTGGTCTTTTCTTCTCTTTTCTTTGGCCCATTTTTTTCGGCTGTCCATTTCATTCTTTGCTCGGTATTTCCTAAAATTCACGTACAACGACAATTAATGAGAACAAGCTATCGATTTCTTTTTCCTCAGTTTCTTTTCATCGTGCTCCGTTCAGTCACTGAAACTTGGAGTCGCGATTACTTACGTTTACCGTGGCATTATGACAATGCATTGGGAAAAGAATTGATTCTATACCGAAAAATGTGTTCCAGGGGAAAGCGACTTTGCACGTCAATAATCGTAGTGGCTCTCTAAGCGAGGTCGCTGTATAATTCTTCTACTCATTTGTCATTTTGTCATCATTAACGAACATTATCAAACCATCGAAGTCACTTTTCCCTGAATGAAATATCGTATATAAAGTAGCTTCTTTTATCATATCAATTCACTTAGAAATTAATAATAGATTCAATCCTTTTTCCAATCAAACCGTGCATTGCGACGGTGTACTGATCTCTTTTTTTTAAATATTCCGATGCGCAGCGATTTCTTATTCGATGATCGTAAGATTATTGCTGTATTAAGTAATTATATATATAATTCTACTTGTTTAATACTTCACGGCAACGAACGAACAAGTCAGTAAAGAAACTCCGAGTTCCAAGGACTGAACCGAGGCGTCGATCGATGTAACATTCGCATGCGGATCGAGCGGCCGAGAGAAAAGGAGAAGCTTGATAAACTCGTAGCTTTGTTATCTCGATACTCTTCCACGAGTACCACGTATTATCATTATTGTTATCGTAGCCATTGTACGAGAGGACAGTACGGTCTTTATTAGCGATCTTGAAAGTGTGATATTTTTTTAACGAACATATCGCAAGTACGTTCGAGTTCAGCGAGTGATTTCAATGCTTGCAATATTAGTGAACCATCTCCGGGTGCTGGAGATTTTCTGGGAGGATTAAGAGACGAAACGAAACGGGATCGATGCCCCACGCTCAGAGAACAATATCGTGCCAATGCTCACATTTATTTATTTAATCCTTTGTCATCCATCTACGCGCAGAATGAACTCCTGTTAAACATTTTAGATATTCGGATTCAGGAGGTCTCATATCGAGATACGATAATTAACGCGTCGGTATTCGAAAAGGTGCTTCCCTTCTATCTTCTTCGTGTGTTTTCTTAAAATTCTCCATCCACTTCAGATTTACTTTCAATACTTTTGGTGTTCGTTTAAATTTGGGAATTCATAGGGAATCTATTCAATTTCAATCTTGAACTGATCTTAAAGGTATTAAGAATATAAGTCTATTATTTATAACAGGTTTCATTTAAAATTCTAATTTGATATTTAGTTTTGTCGTTCATCGGTTGCTAACAATTCGATTGAAAAGTTTACACTTTAAATAATGTCCATTTTAATTTCTCGAGTAACCTTTACGGTTGTCGATGCGTTACGTTGAATTTCTCCGAGCGTCGCGAGTCGAAGATCCGTCGCTTCTTACGCTTTTCTTTGTCGCAACACTCGGTGTCTGTCGATGATCGTTCACGAGTTGTTAAACCGGCATACGACATATCTTGTTCTGTGTCCCCGTGTGTGTTTCAACAGGGAGAGGATTGTATTAACTTCATTTAGACATTAACCGTCCATCGTTGATTAACCTGGTTGATCTCGGCTTATGTTTTGTCAACGTTCTTATCTCGTTTTGCGTGCTTCCTATCACGGTTTCTACGTGTACGTTGAATCGTTTGTATAACACACAACGTGGAACTTCAATCAGGAATACTCATTTTATTTTCATTCTTTCACAATGTAAGTAATCACGCAAGTAGATGCAGCCTTTCTGCTCTGCTCTATTTTATTCTAACTTCCGAATTGTCATATGTAATTTGTTAGATTAATTATGATAGTTACGAATACTCGAAACATTAATTAAATTATAATATTCAATACTATTTCCAATATAGCGACAAAATTCCATTGGAAAGTCGTTGACAAATGGATTTCACTAATGTTCTATCTGTTCGACGTTTCAATTTCTCATTTACCAAGTGGATGTAAAATTATTTATTAATTCTGCCGCATACCGAAGACAGTATTGGTTATTCATTCCTATGATTCCTTATCTTCTGAACTGTGGAAGGATAAAAATAAGGTGTTCAATTTCCACTGTACAATTTTAACTAAAGCGTCCGAGGTCTGAATTTCGAGAACGATGCAATAAGACACGCATCCCAGAACTTATCTGTTTTGTCCTCGTGTTCAGAGGCGAACGAGCGACACCGCAACGGATCGTGTGGAGCAAAGAACGTCCCTTTCGATGTACAGGCAAGTGAGAACGAGTTTCAAACGCGCCAGCGCGCACCGCGCGTCGATCATGAGGAGCGTGCAAAGAGCGTTAAGCATTCAGCATCGGGAGCCGTGAGGATCCAAGTGGTAGAATTATTGAAGTCTTTTGAGATCAAAAGTAGAAAAGAATCTAGCAAGATCTGCGGTGTTTTCGCGTACAGATGGGACACACGTTCAGAACACAAAAGTGGAGAACGATTCGAACTAACTACCTGAGATCTGTGATCACGTAAGAAACTCTGACAATTGCTGTTTTTGATGTTTATCATTCGGTAAACAGATACTCCTCGCGTCGCGAAAATTCGAACTATTGAATGTTAGAAAAGTCTCTTTAAATGTCTCGGGAATGAATTATTCAGTTCGTGTTTTATAAGCTAAACCCGTTTGATAACACCTGCAAACAAACGGAGTGAGATTACAAGTGTAACATTGAAAACCTAGTGTCTATGTTCTAAATCGAAACTATGTATTCTGAAGTCTCTTATTTAATAGATGATTCATTGATAAGATATTTCACCCGTTCCACTCCAATTCACTTATTTATTCTCGCGTTCTTTATCTTCTAAAGCAAATCAGAAAGAGTAATTAGCCTACGCGAAATTCAACACACAAATTCCACACAAGCCGTAATCTTTCATGCAAAAATAACTCATTAACGGATCAAACTGAATGGTAATGAGGCTTTTCTAACGGTCAACGCAATTCCACTTAGCCTAGCCGTAGAAACTGCCCGTCTCTCCTCGTTATTGGAAATAATCGATGCCTGTTTAACAATTGCGAACGATAACAGGGCGCAAGTTCGATCTTAATCCTCTCGTGATCGTAGCTCAGCCTTGCGTCTACATGTCTACTTAACTAACTGCGTAAGAGTTCATTCATCTTTTCTTTATTTTTCTCTCTTCTTTCTTCTCATTATTCTGTTTTATTTTTCCTTCGTTGCGTGAACGTCGTCGTGTGCGTGCGTGCGTGCGTGCGTGCACACACGTCTCCGTGATTGCTCGCGCGAGCAACCCGAGAGGCGAGAGAAAGTGCGGAGCCTCGCTGTCAAGGGAAATTGTCAAAGCAATAACAGGATCGTAATCCGACGCGGCGAATCGTCTTCGCGACGCGACGAAACGCGCTGGTGATTTCCGATTTCGCGCCGACTCGCTCAATGGGCGCGACCTTCTCCGCGTGATTTCGTAATCTCGGTGCAAACGTACCAAGGAATTGCCAGGACGAACGACGATCCGACGGGACACGGCTCGCTTCGCGATCATTCGAGAGTCTGCTTCGATCTTTTCTTTTCCACGGGACGATTCTCGTGCACCTTTGTTGCTCGAATATTTGGCATCGCGTAGACGCGTAGTCGATTTTTATCGCGATACAACATTGATTTTAGAAAAGGAGACGCAAATGAAACGACGCGGAGTATAATGATATCTATTTTTCAGAAGTAAACGTTGCAGCTCGATTACAGGAACAGTACGTTGATGATACGTAGACGATTGATCGAGAGGACACCATTAGCAATGTTTTTATAATGACAGTGATACTTTTTTAAAAGTCTTTGCAAACGTATGAATCGCTAAATTAGAAGTCATTTTCCGGTTTATTTCGTAGAGCGGTTATTCTGTTCAGACTAAATTCATTTGGTAAGCTTCTTATTAATGTTCTGTTATAAAGTGACCGCGATATGGTGGTGCATATTAGTACCGTGCTCTAAAAGAAAAGACGAAGAAGTCTCTCCGAATTTCAGAACTAGACGTCAACCGTGTTCGCTACGTTCATTATCCGTCTATTATGTTCGAAGAGGTTACGGTTTTATTAAAGAGCCAATCGGACGTAATTTACTCGTGCCTACATTCACCTAACATGGGTTACTCTGACTAGAAATTGTCTCTCTGTCTCTTAAAATTTCGCCGAAAGTGTTTCGGCAAATGTTTGATGCGAACGCAGAGATATCGTAGAACCGACGTGCCATGGAAAAGTGACTCGATAGAGTAGGAAGTTGCGTGCATAATTGGGTTTGGAAGAACTGATGCGAGCGAGAAAGTGTTATTGGTCTAATTAACCCTTTAACAATAGCATTTCTATGAAAGGAATATTCATAAACGAATAACTGCGGTCCTTAACGCAAGCTTACGTTTCAATATACTAACATACGAAACCATGAATTGAGAGCAATTCAGTTCCTTTATAATATTCCGCAGACGATTTATAATATTCTAGTCTTATCGAAACGTGTTATGAATTGCAACCAGATTGCTAAATACAATAAAAATCTTAATCGTGGCCCGGTAAAGGTTTCATTTTATTGTCAGCCTTTTGAAAACTTTGACGAACAATATATACCTCTTGTCTGAAAATCATTAAAAAAATCTTCAAGCTTGCAGAAGCGTCCATAGTATAATAACATTTTCAAATTGTCAACTATCATTGTATATATCGTTATATAAAATGAAAGTTGAAGGGTTAAAAGGGGAGAGCGAAGGACAGTGATGGTCCAGATGGCGCAACACCGATACTCGCCGGCCATCTTGACGCCCGCCATTTTGTTTCGATCCTATTCTTAATCGTATAGTTACTTACAGACAGAAAGGTTCCTTCTTTTTTTCTAGTTGAGCGCCAAACACGGAACTATCGAGATATCGCGGCAACCGGTCCATTTCTGTCCGACCCTTAATCCACGCGAACGAAAACGTACGATCTACGTTTGTCACGAATCGAGCAACCGATCAAGTACCGTCGCCGGAACGCTCGCGTTTCGAGCGTGCCGTTACGAAGCGAGCTGTCGCTTGACCGAGATTTTCCGGCAATACGTATTACAATTATTACCATTATCATTATGATGATTACTATCACCATGATTACTGATATTATTTAAATAAAGCAGTTACTATTATTCTTACGATTGTTTCTGTTGTACTCGTACATGAAATTGAACTCGATCATTTTCGTTGGGAGTCAATATTCGACCAAATTGTTTCATGAGTATTTCACTTTTTTTTTGTTTTTTTTTATTCAAATCCTATTTTTCCGATACACCTTTCGCAAAAATGAATTGTTACCCTTGTCTAAAAGCTTATGAGACAATCATCACTGTACAGGATACGTTGAAATTTTGTTATAGAAACTGAACAACGGTTGACACTATCAACGTGAGTTATCTCGACGAACGAGA